TGCCCCTGTGACAGAATTAATCAGATCTGCCATGCCTCCAAACCACTGAGCAGTGAACAGCAATGACAGAGCAGAACACCAGCAACAGCAGCTGAACAAAGATGTTGCCAAAAAATGTAAGCTTGCAAATAGCGCATCCCATTCTCTTCTAACATGTTATGAACACCTACCTTCACCATGCAGTAACCACAACGCCGCATCTTAATATTACTTGGAACTTGGGGTATCACCATGCTTTGTTCTTCACTCTTGTCTGCCTACAAAAAAAAGAGAAAGAGAGTGACTAAGGAGGTTTTGTATGCCGCTGTCTTGGCCTGACTGAGCTGTCTGGCTCCTTTTATTTACCAGTTACACAGTGCTGGTTATCTCTCATTAGGAAGGTTAAACAAAATAACTCCTTAGAATTCCTACAGAAGCTGCAGACAGTTAAGGTACAGCGAGAGAGAACAGACTACTGCAACCATCAAAAGAACATTTGCACAGAGACAGAAATAATTGTGGACAAGATACCACAGTGATCCCAACGCTATGCTTTGGGACAAAAATAAACAAGGTTAGACTTCACTTCCAAACACAATAATGATGTCTTTTTAGTATAAGCAATGCTACTTATTCATAACACAGCCAACATTTACATTAATGACGGATGCTTAAAATTGATAATGCTTTTGTCCTACACAATCTGTAAGGCAGTGAACCTGGAGCAGACTATCTCTCAGCCACTGAAACTTTGCATCTCCATTTATTTCACTGTAACTTGTTTGTGTACATGTCCTCTGAGAGGGTAACGAATCTATAAACAGTTCAATAAATAGAGCTGCAGAGAGCACTTTCTTCCAAGCTTGCTATTCAATTCAGGTTTTTTTGCACTTGTACCACTTAGCGGTGGTTAGCATAAAACAGGTCACGTATACATTCCATAGGGTACGGCAGCCTCTGATGCAAGAGCGGACCTTACACTCAAATGGCACAGTACACTTAAAATGGGACTGTGGTGTAAAAGACACGCTTAAAGTCTGTGAACTCTACTGCTGTTACAGACTATGAATCAGAGACTGTCTGGCCTCATCTCCAATGGTCTGTGTATGTTTCCTTTATGTCAAGTGCAACAGAAACCGTTTCAGATTGCTCTTAACTAGCAGAGTGGGAAAAAGGAAAAAAAGCCTATGGATTTTATAGCCTCACCACCTTCTTCCATTCATGAAGTGATATACCTTCACCTCCTCTTCAGACTTAACAAAACCCGGATCCATGAGGGACACGGTGAAGTACAGCAGCACCGAGCACAAAACCAGTAAGATGAAGACCAGTGGCTGCAGCAGCTCTCCGCGCTCCTCTTGCTTTTGCAGATCTGAAAGGTACCCCCCAAAAAAAGAGTAGTAGTTCCTTGTGAAGCGTTTAGGATTTTCCTCTCTGGCCTTAACAACGGAGTCCCGCACCTACAGGGGGAAGGACGGGGAGAAATCAGGCGGCGAGAGGGCGCGGAGCGAGCAGGGGAGCAGCAGGCAATGGAAGGGGCTCCCGAGCGCCCCACAGCCCCCCTCTGCCTTCAGGGCACCCCCGCAGGGCCCAGAGCCGGAGGCAGGGCGGAGAGCACCGGTGTGC